TTCTGGGCATGTGGTTTCACATTCTATGTATGTAACAGGGACATTTGTTGGTTTACAGGGAAAGGATACTCATTAGCATTCCTGAAATATGTGAGACGAGTGTTGTTGTTGTGTTAAACTTGGAGAATCTTGAATGTCATACACTCAATTTTGGGACTCAATTTAGCTCATAACTACAAGACTTCGGAAGACATCCCTTAACAACATTTGTGTATGAAGTTTATTGTATTTATTTCTTATTGTAACATTTGTTTGTAGAATATCTTATATATCTTCTACACACGGCTTTTGGTGTAATATTTATTGTATTTATTTTCAAGTAGGCCTTGAAGTTTCAAACATTAGACGTAAATTTTATCAATTGATACAATTTTTTACGGCGTGGTATTCAACATTATCTAGGCATTAGATTTCTTTAGTTTAAAAAATAAGATCTATTTTTCACTTATTTATATTATCCTGTTTCTTAGTCTGACACTGCACCAAACGATTCACTAAGCTAGTCTAATGCAACAAACATACCCTAGAGGTGACTAAAGAAAGTATGAATTTTTTGTTACACCAAGAATTCTTATTAAATCTATAGATGGGTGACCATGAATTCTTAGTCACTAGGTGACTAAGAGAATGACACGCTTGAGAGAAAAATGCAGCATTTTCCCCTGTGGATCGAGTAGTTTTTTTTTTCAAACTCTTGTGTTGGACTTGGAATGATCCCAAAAAAGTGATATGACTTCACCACTAAAGTTAGGCACTTCAAATATTTAAAGGCAAACCCCTAATTACACATGCTAATAAAGCAAGTCATTTTATCATATGCTATAATATAACTTGTATACTTAGGGCTGGTTTGGTATTGTTGTGCTTTGAAAAAAAACTGCTGTGAGAATAAGCGGCTGTGAAATAAATCAGCAAAGTGTTTGGTAAACTTTTTTGTAAAAGTGCTTTTGAAAAAAAAAAAACAGTTTAATAGTGGGTCTTTTCATTAAAGGAGCACTGTAACTCCGTGTGCTTTGAAAAAATGCCAGTTTTCCAAAGCTGCAAATAGCAGCTTCGGCTTTTTCCTTTGATTTCAGCTTATTCTCACAGCAGCTTCCAAAATAAGCCATTTTTTTTCAGTTTACCAAACACCTAAAATCTTCACAGCTTTTTTTCATGGGTGTTTTTTTTTTAAGCACCTCACTCCCAAACCACCCCTTAGATTTGTTCTTTTGACTCTAAAGACATAAGAAATGGGTTCGCAAGACTTGGCGCACAATCTCATCGAATCAAAGCTAAGCACAGCTCTCAATCAAGTTCAATTTTCTATTCTTGTAATTTAGATGAAGTTAATGTAACTAATATACTGGTAATGTAGGTAATGACTTTGAAGAAACTGGTTTAAGTTCATAAGAGAAGACAAAGTTGTACTCTAGAGATGAAGCATGGTCCATGGATGGCTGATTTGAGATCAACAATTTAATTCATTCTTTATTGGTATTATACTTCTTTTAATTTACATAAAACTCTTAAATTTTATTCACCAATTGTTAAAGTAAGAGGTCTTTTTTTTCTTTTCAACCACAACAGCTCATCCTAAAACTAAATTTAACATCTTACTTTATAAACAAATCATTAACTCTTAAAATTAAAACCTAAAGTCTGATTTAGTTTTATTAAAATATATTATTTACATTGCCAAGCGAAGAATAAAAAACTTTGAACTTTTCCTACTCCCATTTTTGAACTTTCATATATTTTATCCTTCAAATTCCAAACCCATAACAATATTAGGATTGTAAATTTGTCCATTCTCTTTAACTTTTTACTAGATTTATATATTTCACATATTTTGTTCTCTAAATTCCCATTCCATTCTTCTCATCTTTGTTCGAAAATTCCCAATCTATTTTATATTGACTTGGGGTGATGATAAAAAGACTATCTACTTAGCCATATTTTGAGACCAAATGATAATATAGAAGTTAATAATTGGACTACTTCTTTAAATCATTAGAGAAGGAATCTAATTATCAATCGTCACATCATGTGGTATCCAAAATATGGTCTAAAAACATGGTCACTCTAACATTTTATATTGATGGTCTCTATAACATTTTATATTGACTTGATATTGAAAGGTTAATTTCTCTTAATCCTCTTTAATTTTGATTAATAACTCTCTATATTGACTTGATTTTACAAAGGTTAATTTCAACATGAAAAAAAAAACATTAGCGCCTCAATAAATTTAACTAGATCACAACTCCAAACATGTGTTATATTCTCTTGTAAATCTATCTATTTATTTTATTTCTTTAACATTTATGTGAGGCTCCTCCTCATGTAATTTCGGCCCTACCAAAAATTCTCTTCATAACAAAACTTGTTTGTAAAAACCGACCTGTAAATTAAGGAAAGGTATTCAATAGCTCTTAAACAACCTCATATTATGCCGTAACACGTTGTTGTCTCAGCATATTGTTGCCGGGTGCATGCATGCTATGATGGTCTACGTACTGAGGTCAAATGAGGGAGTCGTGCTCGTGCTCGTGCTCGCGCTTGTTGAACGTGCAAAAAGTTAAACTTCTAAGTAATTTCTCTGGCATTATCAATACCATGACTTTGAAAACCCTGATTTGGCATCGTACAGAGTTTACCCTAAGGAGGTAACTTAGATAGTGCAAGTAATGCTAATACATAACATCGAGAAGTAACTTAGATGGTGCAAGAGGTAACTTAGATGGTGCAGGTATCGTTAACTTTTTAGAATAGAATTAGTCAGATAATTCGAATTTGGCACCTATTTTGACAAAAAGTCAAAGGTCAAATTACAAAATCTATTCCGAGGCGGCTAAAATTTGAACCTAATATTTGTCTGTATGGATGAGGCTGCTGCGCTGCCCTAGTGCGTTGCACCTCTCTAATTTGTTAAAGCTAATTAAACACATGTTTTAAGACACCACTAGCATTCGTATTTGGTCCACCTCAAGTCTTTCAATGAGAATTTCATGTCTATGTTCTCACTTTTCTCAGCATTCACACGACCACCAGCCAATACTATACTATACACAAAGAAACTTTTTTCTTGCGTTTAATAAAGTAATTGATCGCCATTCAGTACTATGGTCTGGTAGTATTCCTCTTCACTTGAAAGTGAAAGATCTTAAGTTTGAATATTGTGGATGGCGAATTCAATACCAAATTAAGTTGTCCATTGTGTAATTTAGCCGAATTCTCATTCTTCTTAGTGTAAAAAATATCGATGTATTAAAAAAAAAAAAAGCAATTGATCATGGACCTGGACGTCCATGGTCCCATTGTCTTCTACAGAGGATGTATTTAAAGGTTTCTATCATAAATAGTCTTGGAAATTGACTTGTCCCATCAAAATTGTCTCTAAAGTTAAAAATTCTTAACTAAAATCCTTCGTATCAAGATTGTCTTTAAAGTTAAAAATTCTTAACTAAAAAATTCTTCAAAAATTACAATGAACAAGTGTCGTGTTAATTTATAATAAATTCAAGACTAACAGACGTGTAATTCAATCATATCACTACATACATGTTGACATATATAAATCGTGTATATAATTAGGGTAAATTATATAAAATTATTTTAAATATTAGTCAAATCATAATTTCATAGCTTATATTTTAAAATTACAAAATCATATCTCATTTTACGAATATGTTGTAATATCAGATCTCTCTTAGTTTTTATATCAATTTATCTATTAAATACCGACGAGACTTGAGACGGATTAAAAAATTAATTAAATATTAAAAATTTAAAAACAAAATCATTTAAATAATTTTAATTAAAAAATATGGGACCCACCCTCTGCAAACCCAGTCCCTAACCAAAATTAATCACTGTAGCCAAACACTCCACAATCTCCATGCCAATTTCCTCCATGTCCATCCTCCGTCGCCGCACCATCATCCCACTACCACCGTCGCGAAACTCATCCCAAATCTCAATTCTCCAGTACATCTCTGTCGCTGAAGGCTCGTATTTTTCTCAGACAGACAGAGAGACCGAGGAGAGAGTATGGAGGGTCAGCGGGCAGCTCTGTTTCAATGCCAGCGAATTGGCTGCAACCCCATGTTTTTCGATGACGACAATCCCGAAGGTTCCTGTCAATATCATGATTCAGTCCTCCCCTTCTTACTGTGCTCTGGTTTGGATGTGAGAGAAGCAAAGAAGATAATCGCTTTCCGTTTTTCCTTTGGTTCAATTTGAATAATTAAAATATCCCAACTGAGATTAGTCACAAAATTCTGTTTTTTTAATTCTTATTATTTGCTTGTAATTTGCTTTTTAGTTTAAACAGCACCAGAACCCTAGCAGGCGGTGGATGTCAACCTTACGCGATCGTCTCCACCGATTCACGTCCCTGCAGTCCGCTGCCTCCCTCTTCCTCTTTCTAGTGCTCACGCTGGCTCTGCTCCTTTCCGAGTGGACCCATCGGTTCTTCCGTTGCCCTCGGATCTGGTGTTCGGGCTGGCCGTGACCCTCTTCTACCTACAATCGCTGGTGTCCCCCCGGGGGGGGGGGGGTGGGGGCGTCGGTGCAAATGTCGGATCTCAAATCCAAGGGACTCTCGTTTCTGGGTTTGCAGGGTGGTGGGTTTGCAGGGTAGTGGTGGTAGTTTGGCCCCAACGGCAGCGGCAGCAGACGCCGTCATTGATTTTCTGCTTTTGCAGAAAGGAGAAGGACGAGAGAGTTGGGAGAGAAGGAGAGGTTGGGGGACAGAGCAAGAGGGAGAGTGAAAAGAGTGTATTGAATAAAAAATAATAATTTTTTATTAATTAATTAATTTTTTATTCTAGTTGGCGAATGAGTAGATCCCGTTTCTGTTATGTCATCCTTTAACAACTACATTGACAGAAAACTTAACGAATGTCTGACATTGAAACGAATTCATAAATTGAGGATGACATTGCAATATTTAAACATGAAGTATGAGATTGTGATTCGATCTATAGTTGAAGTAGTTTGTTGTAATTTATCCTTTATATATAATAAGAGCACCAAAACTCTTCCTCAATACCAAAACAGCTTAATTTGGCAGATGGTTTTCTTGAGCCATCTTGTGGTTTCCAGAAATGAAATAATCCTCACAACTTAAAATCATGGCATCCAAAGAAGAAAAAACACTTTCTTTCATCCCAATTATACTCATTCTCTTGTTGGATTCTTCAGCTTCAGCAGCAACATCAGGACAAGAAGCAGAAGCACTTCTGAATTGGAAAGCTAGCCTTGACAACAGCACAAGTCTCTCCCTCTTGCCTTCATGGGTTGGAAACAGCATATGCAATTGGGAAGGAATTGCTTGTAACAATTTTGAAAGCATAACACAAATAAACCTCACTGCTTCTGGCTTAAGAGGTACACTTCATGCACTTAGTTTCTCATCTTTCCCAAGTCTCATGAGCCTTAACCTGAGCCACAATGCGATTTTCGGAACAATCCCGTTGGAGATAGGGTTTTTGAAAAGCCTTCAAATCCTTGATCTTGCTGGAAACAACATCAACGGGTCCATTCCACATGAAGTTGGAATGTTGGGCAACTTAACCATTCTGTCCCTCCAACAAAACAATCTCTCTGGAAATCTCCCTACAGAAATATGCATGCTGAATTCACTCAGTGTGATCAATGTAGCGTTTAACAGTCTCATGGGTTCGATTCCAGAAGCAATCGGAAACCTGTCCAGCTTAACTGTTCTTGCCCTTCAACTCAACAATTTCTCCGGCGCAATTCCTTCCACTATAGGCAACCTGAGTAGCCTCAAGGAGATGTATTTGATGGGAAATCAATTAATTGGAAATATCCCACCTGAAATAGGAAAGCTCAAATTTCTTACTCATTTGGGATTGGTGGATAATAAACTCAATGGCTCTCTTCCTTCAGGACTGAATAATTTTACATTTTTGAAGCAGTTGTTTTTTAGCAACAACAACTTTTCTGGCAGCATTCCCCACGATATATGCATCAGCGGAGTCCTTGAACTGTTTACAGCACACAACAATCAGTTGACAGGCCCCATGCCTAGAAGCTTGAGGAACTGCACCAGTTTAGTTAGATTGAGGCTTGAGAGGAACCAGCTGACAGCAAATATAGCTCAAGAGTTTGGCATTTATCCGAAACTAATTTATGTCGATTTAAGTTACAACAAATTCTATGGAGAGCTTTCAGAAAACTGGGAGCGGTGCCAAAACTTACAAAGCTTGAGGCTCGGCAACAACAGAATTTCCGGGGAGATACCTCGGTTTAAGGGATCAATTCAGCTCCATGTGCTTGACCTATCTTCGAATATTCTCACCGGGACAATCCCAAAGGAACTAGGGAAGTTGACATCCTTGTTCAACCTTAACCTAGGTGACAACAAACTTTCAGGCAGTGTGCCTTCGGAGATTGGATTGCTAACCAATCTACAACATCTTAACTTAGCAGCAAATGATTTCAGTGGACTAATTCCGGAAAAATTAGACGGGTGCAGAGAGTTGTTGAACTTGAACTTGAGCAAATTTAATGAGAGCATTCCTCTTCAGATGGCAAGCATAAACGCTCTTCAAGTTCTCGATCTCAGTCAAAATTCACTGATGAGTGAAATCCCACCACAACTTGGAAATTTGATGAAGTTGGAAACCTTGAATCTCTCCCACAACAAGCTCTCTGGTTCGATCCCATCTATGTTCGATAACATGTTGAGCTTGACAGTTGTGGACATGTCATACAATCATTTGGAGGGTCCTCTTCCCAACAACAAAGCGTTCCATAAGGCCTTGGCTCTAGCTTTTGCGAATAACACAGGCTTGTGTGGCAATGCCACAGGTTTGAATGTTTGTCCGTCCGAAACAAGAGGGGAGAAAAAGAGCAGCAAATCGGTTATCTTCACTGTAGTCCTTATTTTAGGCATCCTGTTGTTTGTATTTGTGGTAACCGGGATTCTTTGCGTGGTCTGCTATCCACGAAAAGTGCAAAATGAAGACCAGTTTGCGATTTGGAGTTATGATGGAAGACTTGAGTATGAAGACATCATTGAAGCCACAGAGGGATTCAACTCCAAATATTGTGTGGGGGTGGGAGGCAATGCAAGTGTTTATAAGGCTGTGTTGCAAACAGGCCGGATTGTTGCAGTGAAGAAACTCCACATGCTACAGGATAGTGGAGTGGCAAACCTCAAGGCTTTCGAAAGTGAGGTTCGTACTCTATCAGAGATTCGTCACAGAAACATTTTGAAGCTTTATGGTTTCTGTTCGCATCCGCAGCACCCTCTTTTGTTGTATGATTTCGTAGACGGAGGAAGCTTGCAAAAGATACTGACCGACGAAAACCATGCAGTTAAGTTTGGATGGATTGAGAGGGTGAATGCTGTGAAGGATGTTGCTAATGCATTGTTGTATATGCATCATGATTGTTCACCTCCGATATTACATCGAGACATTTCAAGTAAGAACATCTTGCTAGACTTGGAATATGGAGCTTATGTTTCCGATTTTGGTACAGCTAAGCTCTTGAATCTTGAGACTTCAAATTGGACTTCATTTGCAGGCACATTCGGATACAGTGCTCCAGGTACTTATCTTCTGCTTGAATTCTTCCATTTGACATAAGTACTTATTTCCTGCTTTTACTCATCATGACTTGGGTCTTTGTTTTGCAGAGTTAGCATACACGATGGAAGCAAATGAGAAATGTGATGTTTATAGCTTTGGAGTGGTAGCACTAGAAATGATCATGGGAAAGCATCCCGGAGACCTCATCTCCTATTTTTTGTCATTTTCATCAACATCAACACCTGAACCTATACAACTGAACGATGTCTTGGACAAGAGGCTCCCGCCTCCGGGAAATCATGTTGTGGAAAAAGTGATCACTGTTGCAAACCTTGCACATGCGTGCTTGCGAACGAATCCACAATCTCGACCAACCATGCGACAAATTTCCCATGAGTTGTTATTTTGAAGGACCTTTTTGGCCAAAGATGTTTGAAATGATTAGCTCATGATTCTTGATTAGGAATCTATGTTATCTTCTTTCAATGTAAATCTTCATATGTTTAATGTATTTACAATAGCTCTTTGAAATATAAGTTACAATGTAGTCTTCACATCTTATGGGATGAAACATTGACTCAGAAAACCGTACTTCACTGCTTATTCGGATACTGTGAGCCTGCTTGGCTATTTATGCATTGAGTTGCAAGAATTCTCGGGTTGCGCTATGGGAAATTTTGGGTAAATTCTGATAGGCATCCCATGGGAAAGGAATGGAAGAGGATCCATGGTTATGGGCTCGTCGGGATAAAGCAAAGATCAATCATAACACGTAACAACGAAATGCACGATGATAAGGATATTCAACTTGGCCAGTTGGTAGCCTGCACACACTCTTGGCCCTCCCCCGAATGGAAGGAACACATACGGTGGGACTGACTCCTCAAACCAACTTGGATTGAAACTCAGAGGATCTTGAAAGTATTCAGAGTTGTAATGTGTTCCATATGTTGTTCACAACACCTGCATGGAATTAACCACTAGAAATTAGTCCAAGCACTGTAAGTACACACCGGTGTAAAAATGCAAGGCACAAAGCAGAAAGCATATACCTTCCATCCTCTAGGTATGGTAAAGCCTTCATACTCAATGCCGGCGATGGCTTTCTTAAAATAGCCGAAGATTGGGGGGAATATGCGCATGCTTTCACGCGCAACCTGCCAGGTATACTTCATCTTCTTTGTGTCATCCAGTGTCAGATTTTCACCTGGTCTTTTGCTTCTCATTATCTCAGCATGTTCTGATATAATGAAATGCAACTCACCGATAAGTTCGTGATTGAAATCAATGAACTTGGACTGCACGAAATGTTACATACCTTTCAGTAGAATACTATGGCAATAAGGATGCTGAGCCAACATTTTGAAAGTCATAGCAATGGCGAAAGAAGTAGTATTATGAGCTGCAAAAACAAGCAACACCACATTATCAACAACCTTCTCCTCAGTGATTTCTCCTTGAATCATTCCAGCCACCAATTGTGAAAGCAATGTTCCTCCCTGCTCCTCCTCTGCTTCTATCTTGCCTTCCATTTGCATCCTCTTCTCTCTCACTACTTCAATCAGCATATTCTCTATCTCCACCCTCGCTTTCTTTGCTCTCCAAAACCTCAAACCAGGAATTTGAACAGGCGCTGCAAAAACCCCTTCCAAAACTCTCTCAAATATTCCCAACATCTCTGCCTTCACACTGATCCCCAAAAAGCACTCAAACACTATGGTAAACGTCAAAATTTTCGTCGAGCGGTAAAGGCTAATCTAGTCCTGGCCTTTCCACTTTGTGTCCAAATGCAACCGCACAGAGTGACATATTTTAGGCACCAACGTCTCAAGCCCCTCCTGGCCAAGGCTCGCCCCAATAAGTCCGCGCAGGTAGCGGTGCCTCTCCCCTTGCTTTTCTATGATGGAGTCCTTTCCCATCAGCTGAACTGATGCCGAAGGCCACGAGCTCACCACCAACTTGAACTCATTGGACAGCAGGAACTTGTTAGCATTGGCTCCATTTACAATCACAGTTGGTGATCCCATCAGATGCGTTGTGAAGATTTTACCATATTTAGCAATCTGAGGTTGAGCGAAATCATCAAACAAACTGTTCTTCCGTTGAGCTTTGTAGAACTCCATTGTCTGGCCTACCCAAGGAAGCCCCATTTCGCCTAGTGGCAGTCTTTTCTTATTCGTGTTACAGCGTTTCTTGTGCCCTAAGAAAACAATGAAAAAGACCGTTGCAGCTAAGAAACAGAACAAACAAAAAGAATGATTGCAAATTTCATTTGCCATCGATGATTTCATGGATTAAAAAAGTTTGAAATTTTATAGTTCTAATTATAATGTGGTATCAGGTGAGCAAATTGTTTTAGCTTTATAGAAGAAAAAAACCAGAAAGTCACACCCCCTGATTTTTTCAGAAAAGTCAACTAATCATGAAGTCGTAAACCGTCCCAGGACTATTTTATCACAAATCAACAACTCAGATTTTCCCGTTACATTGACTCAACGTTAAGTTGCATATTGTCGAAATGGGTGATCGGCCACAGAAAAGAAATCCCAAAAAATTTGGTAGGGTTGCTGATGCAATGATGAAGATTAACAAACACATGATGTAAACCGTGGAATCTTTTCAATCTCTCATGCTTGTTGATTTCAACAAAAGAGACTTGTCACTAGCAATATAGTACATCTTAAGTTTGACTCTTATAATGTTGAGTTCAGCACCAAATTATTGCAAGCTGTTGTGCAGTTTAGTTTAGCTTTTCAACTTAAATAACGATACTAAGAAAAATATAAGAAGAGACCTTGAAAGTCTCCATGCTGGAATTGCTTCACAATAATGTCAGATTTATGCTTAAATCGGACTTAAACAAAGCCTTAATCAAAAATAGAATTCGAGTGACGCAAAACCAACAATGAACAATACACAATGCAATTTAGTTCCCCTTAATTTATTGACGTTTAGTGCCCTTTTATTGACTTTTTAATGCTTCCTCCCTGCATAATGCAATTCAGTAACGAGTTTCATTTGTGTATATTTCGTGTATTATATGTATGGAACAATTTATAAAGAGTGTGGTAAAACCAATGCTATTTATCATCATGCGAAGAGCATGCCTCATGCACAAATTAACCACGTCCATGTTAGGGACCAAAATTTGTGGATTCACGTGTGGATTATTATTCCAAAAATTTGTGGATCCAAACAATTAACGACGTCCATGGTAAGTTGCATATTTCGAAATGGATGACCGACCACAGAAAAGAAAAGAAATCCCAAAAAATCAAGTAGGGTTGCTGATACGATGATGAAGATTAACTAAGAGGGGATAAAAACCGTGGAATCTTTCCAATTTTGATTTCAACGACAAGAGATACTTGTTCGACAAGAGATACTTGTTATTAGCAAAACGGTCTTAAGTTCGACTCTTATAAGGTTGAGTTCAGTATCAAATTATTGGGTAATTTGGCTTTATGCATAAATTGTTACAAACTTTTAGTTAAAAATAGAATATGAGTGACACAATACCAACAATTAACGATACACAAATGTAATTTAGTGCCTCCTTTATCGATGTTTTAGTGTCTCCTCCCTACACAATGCAATTTAGTAACCAAATTTATTTTTGTATATTTTTGTATTGTAGGTATGCAGCAATTTATAAAGATTGTGGTCAAACCAAATGCTAAGAAACCATATTTATCATCATGCGAAGGGGGTGCCTCATGCATAAATTAACCACAGCCATGTTAGGGACCAAATTTTGTGGATCCATTTGTGGAATATTATTCCTAAAGATAAGCTTTATATATGTACACCATGAAAAGATAAGCTTTATAGATACACACCATGAAATGATAACCTCTCCTTAAGTGCATGATCCTCCAATACGGAAGATAAGATAGGTTAGCGTATATAAATCCGAGTAATGTTATTTTGTTACACTTATATTCTAAGAAAAATACTCATATTCAAGCATTGTGAATATGGACTATGCATTTGTAGACATCGAAATTTTAAATAAATGTTCACCAACACATTAAAGTTTCGATATGTCAGGACATACGTGGCATGCGCCATGTGTCTCACAAATTGTACACATGGACGTGACTCATCAAAATCGGATGAGTCATCAAGAAGTACACATGTCAACATTTGGCAGAAATGAATAATTTGATTTTAATTTAATTTAATCAAATATTAATTGGTGGAGTCAAATCACGAATCGACCCACAAATTGAGTTCTGGTTCTTTTGTCAATTAAACCCACAATCAAGGTCAAATCTATCTGTAGGCAAGACTTGAAGAGTCTATAAATACGAGGCTCCAAGACAAAGAAAGGGGGCCAGAAAAATCATTCACGGCCATACGCTGAAGCTTTAAAACTCTGAAGCTTTGAAGCTCTCAAACCCCCCCCCCCAAAAAAAAACACCCAAGACACTCAACAAGACTCAGAAAACCCTCTGCGTTCTTCTTCAAACCCGTAAAAGAATCATCAAGCACTACTACACTGTGCTGGTTCTTCCATCGCCACAAGTCAAATCCATGTGGCAGTCGTTCATCCTAGATCAATTCATTGCGACTCTTGGATCAACAACACACATCTACACATCTTCGGAGATCAAATCAAAGGATCAACCTTGTAAACAAAGATTGCAACCCTAAACTCATTAATACAAATACAATTATTTTGTACACGTGTTCTTGTTTGATTTGCTACAGAAATTTTGTGTTTACAGCATTCCAACCAGAGTGGACACAATCAATGGTCCATATTCAGTCTGAAAGCATAAGCATCGATCTCACGCTGATTAACTTATCCACTTCATTTGATCATGTAGCCATAAGGCAGTACCTAGTAATTAAGGTTTTGAGTACATTTCCTATTCCAAGAATTTGAACAGAACCAAGAATCCATCCATGCTATGCATATACACAAATATTTTGAGGATGTAGTTTGAGAGGGAGTCGATTGTTGTAGCAGTTGCTGGTATAAATTATAACCACATTTATTTAAGTGCAGTTTCACCGGGGAACCTTTAGGCCAGCACCCAGCCAATCCACTCCAGCCGAGCATATAGGCTGGCACCCAGCCTCTCTAGGCCGGCTCAGAATGTGTTGAGCCCTTGCCCGACCTACATGACGCCAGGCGATACCAACATGCCTCCCTGAGCTAAATTCGTAGCTTTCTGTTTTCCCTCCACCACCACCCCAACTCGAGCTTCCATATCCAAAACTCTCCCTCTCTATCTTTATCTCTTTCCGCCTCTAGAAAGCTTCAATCTTTCCCCTGCCCTTGAATTTGGGTCGGGCCGAACTTGGCTGATCTCACACGAGTTTTGGCGGTTTGAAGAGAAGAAAAAGAAGGGAAGAAAAAGTGGTGAAACTGTGCTTGACCGCACAGTTGGAAAATCAGGGAAGAAAAAGAAGAAGGGAGTCCAAAGAGACCATTTTGAGAAAAGTGGGAAGAAGAAGAAAGGATCATGTCAGAAATTAAAAATCAAATTATTATTTTATAATAAAAATTTAATAAAATTGACTAGGCTATTTAGTTTTAGGGGTGAAGATGTATTTGGCCTATTATTATTCATTGTGGTATATCATCATTCACTAAATGGATTAAATGGGCTGGATGCTAGCGTATTTTTTTAGGGGTGGAATTGCTCTGAAAGATTCAGGCTTTTGGACTTTTGCACACAGAACAGCAGCAGTAAAGTCATAATTCTGTAGCAAAAACGAATGGGGGACCTGTGTGTATTTATAATATTTGCGATCTCTCTCTCTCTCTCTCCCCTGTCAGGAAACCGCACAGAAGTAGCACTTGAATACTACAGAGACAATGAAACCCACGCTCTCCTCTCCCAAGAAAACCAAATGGGATCTTAATGGAATTTAAGAAAGGTCTGGGTCAAGAAAAATTGTTTTTACAACATAGCAAATTAGCCTCTGAGTTTAGAATTGATGAATTTGGTTATATCATTAATCTTGATTACCATTGGACAAACCCATTGTTCTTTGACTCATTTGTAATTCAGTATGGGTGTCCGACCCTATTATACGTAGAATATCTCTCATAAGTTATTTATCTATTTTGATCTCACCGGGTGTGAAAATTGCTCTAATTAGATAACCATACTTAACCCAAACTTGTGCAAAGCCTCAATCATATGAGAATATATTTTTCCTAGAAGGAGAGAAAAGTTTTGTAGTATTTCCCACATGAAAAAAGAATCATAAATTTGGGCTTTGATGGCGAAAAAATGTCATTGGCATTCTCAAAATGTGAGACCAAACCAACCAGAGCTGTTGAAATAGCTCAAAGGAGTTTCTCAGGTCATATATTTGTCTGGTTACTGCATCAACTTCCTGGAGAATTTTATGGGATTAATGCTTTCAACGACCACCAGAAACCCTCTTATTATTTCAGTTCACATGAAAGCTTTCATCAGTTTCTAGCTAAGCTAGTTGCTAGCAAGCTCCATAGGCCTTGCCATCGATCACTGGCACTGCTGCTATAAATTTAACTTAGAGCTTCACAGTTCGCTGTTGCACAGCCATTATTTAAGTAGGGCTTTCTCTAAATGTGTGACAACTCAGGATCCCCATTGGCCATGCTGTCTCTCTTACACAGCCATTGAACTTTGGTTGAAAACTTGAAGTGAAATCTCATCACTCTCATGTCGTACTCTCTCTTGGGATTTTCTATATGCTCCAGGTCTTGTACATCAGAATTTTTGGCCGTCATATTCTTGGTCAAGAATTCAACAACCAAACGGTTAAAAATCATGATCTATAGCATACACTAGAGCATAGTAAAATAATCGCTCGGTTTCTTTTGTATGCTTAAAATTTAGAGTAAATTGTCGAGTTACCCCCTGAACTTTCACTTAACTTTCGATTTTCCCCTTGAACTTTTCTATTGGAAAATTAAGGACACAAACTAAATTTTTTAGCCGATTGCCCCCTATTGTTAGTTTTTCATATATTTCATTCATATTTATGTTAAGTGAGACCATGTGCACAACATGTGAGGGTAGTTAAGTCATTTCACTCTTAAAAATGATTAAAAAACTAAAAATAAATAAAAAACAAACTTTCCCTCTATTTTTTCCCGCTAATTCTATCCTCAATTTTATTTTTCCCTCTCATTCCTATGCATGAGAAATGACATATAGTGTTATTGTCTTCATAAGTAGCTAAGTTAGTCTTTTTCTTGAAGCATGTACTACCATTTTTATTTTCTCTAACAAAATAATAATTTGACAAATGTTGATTGTGTTATTGTCTC